TCTAAAGAATTTTCACTACTGTTCTTCAACTGCAAGAGGAAATTGCACTCCCTCCAACTTCATGAGAACCTAATAACCATTTCCTTCGGAAGAACATCTGTAGGGCTGTGAACGAGCGAGCTATAACAAAACAAAAAACTTTTGTGATATTCCTCCACCTCCCTGGTTCCTCATGTTCGGTTTCTATTGCAAAGCCCTACCTAGCCTTTCTTCATTTTAATATACTTCAAAAAAAACAAACCTTTTGAGCCTGCTGCCCATTAATAAAGCAGTCGAATTGGGTTATCTAGCTTGCAACAGAAGTATTCTCATAAAGGATCTGGTAGGTTTTCCCCTATTAGTAATAGAGGGAGAGCCACTGTGCCCTTGACTATTTGAGTCTCTGAACGGAAAAAAATGGGAAATATGAATTGGAGGAGGAGTTAAATCTTTCTCCCACTCCTTACACTTGGTTTAAAACCTGCCAGCCCCTCTGAGTAATTCATCAATCATATAAACATTGACCCTAGTTTTTGGACAGGGAAAGTATTAAATGCTTAGCTTAAAAAGTAAAAACAAAATCCCATACCCCACCAAAGAAGGACATCTGTTTCTAACTTCAGCTTTTTATTTTTTTTATCTTTCATTTTTTTTTGTTGGTAAATCTCCCAGACAACAGCAGTTCTGTAGAGAGTTTAAATATGAAGGAATGGCAGGACGGGCTAAGGGCACTTCTACCGAACATTAACATCAACTTTGGTGGACTGCCCAATGCTTCTTCCCCTTCCAACGCCAACCACAGTGTACCAACGTCCAACACTGCCACCACCGACAGCCTGAATTGGGACAGCCCTGGCAGCTGGATGGACCCCGCAATCATCACAGGTAACCGTTTCTCACTCCTTCAGCTCCGCTGGCAAACCATCAAATGGGTATTTGGCACAAACTGATTGACATCTGGAAAAAAAAAAGTCAGTATGCGGTGGTCTCTTCCAGCTTCCATCCACAAAACCTCAAGGGTCCAGGAATTTTTGTGGAACCACTAGGTATAACGAAGTGTCACTTAGGCCTTTGCAATGCATGCCCGGGACTTTTGCAGGCAGTCAGGCGGATCAGCGCTTATCTACAGGGTCAATGTAGGTGTCCCTTCTGCTGGATGGCATGTCCGGTATGTGCGCCGCTGGTCCTGAGGCATTGAAGGCATTCACTGGACTTTTTTATTTAAAAAGGGACGTACTCCACTTGTTTATAAAGCTCTCTTTTATAAGGCTGTCTGGCTGTGTTTCCCTGTTAGAGAGGCTGAAGCATGATTCAGGTAGGCAGAGTAGGAGGTGAAGCATGCAGTGTACTGGTAGTTTGGTGTGGTAGGATCACGTCAACAGGGATGTAGTCCTTGTGCAGGATGTTTGATAGAAAAATGTGTGGTTTATGAAGTGCTCTGAGGGGGAACTTTCTCCTATCTGGATTTAATGTTAAATGTTTTGTGGGCAGGGTAATTATACATAATAATGTAAATGCATTCTCTGTACAAACTAATCATGTTTTCTCACTGTTGCTTTTTGTTAGGTTAAATTGACCTCCTTCGTGCTCAGCTTATTGCTTCTGCTCTGACTTGCCTGTATTCCTGTTTTTTTTTTTCTTCTCTTCATAGGTATCCCAGCCTCCACAGGAAACAGTTTAGACACCCTTCAAGATGACAATCCTCCACATTGGCTAAAATCTCTTCAGGCCCTCACAGAGGTGGACGGCCCCAGTGCGGCGCCATCACAGACGCACCACAGTAACCCCTTCGGCACACAGATCCCTCTGCACAGAGCCAGTTGGAATCCCTACTCTCCTCCTTCAAACCCCACCAGCTTCCATTCCCCACCCCCAGGCTTTCAGACAGCCTTCAGACCCCCCAGTAAAACCCCCACAGATCTACTACAGAGCTCAGCGCTGGATCGTCATTAGGACAGGAGGAAAAAGAAAAAAAGAAAAATAAAACCCAAAACGTTAGAAATGCAGGAAGTGTCCCACCCTGACTCCTCCCCATGCCCACCTACTGTTCCCTGTCATATCTTTCTTTCTGAAGAATCCAGTTCCTGATCAAACCTCCCCCCCAAATGCAATGCCATCACAGGGTCATGACTGTATCTTTTCGTTAAGTTTCTGCTGAGCCAGTGTTTGAAATACACTGTTTGAAATACTTTCTAATCATTCTAAGGAAAAAAAAAAAGAGAGAGAGAAATCAAAATGCAGTCTCAATGCTTAAGGAGAGTATTACTGTCTTTTGCACATGAGTATTTCTGCCTAGTGGAAAAGTGTCAACCTGCAGTAGGGGAAAAAATACAATGCAGAATCAAATGCAGAAACATGAAAAAGGTATTTAATTTAAATGAAGTTACTGAACATGTGGGGCAAGCAGTGGCCTAGCATTTATTTTGCATTCAGTGTGGCACTACACAGGGAAATTGCTATGTTGGTTTTTCTTTTGAGAAGGGGATTTTGTCAGTCAGAGTTTGACATGAAGTGTGTTGAAAGACAAAACACTTATAGCTATGAGTAACAGGCATGTTGCTAAAGAGTGGTTTAAAGAGGGGAGATTAAGATTTTTCTTTAATTTTGGCTTTAGATTTAAAGTAAACTTTAATGTTTTAAAAGTATTCACAGATTTAATACCTAGTGTATACATAATATAATTATAAGCAGCTGAAACATGAGTGATATTTACTTCAGTCTTTCCGTCTCCTCTGTCAGTCTCTCTCTTTTTTTTAAAAAAACGAAGATTCACCTGATTAGGGCACTCTGGGATAGCACTGCATTGGGGCCACATGATCACCATCAGGAGCAACCTCTGACCTCCTCTGCCTGCAGCTTTTACTTAACCCTGTAGTTTCTGGACGTTTGTGCAGTATTGAAAAGACAGGAAAAAAGAAACAGATAAATAAACATGGTTATAACCTGACTCTAAAACTAAAACCAAGGAAATGTACCTCTTTCTTCAGAATTAAAACTAAAATCTTAAATAAAACAGAAAACTTGATGATGACTTTGTTTGCTTTTTGTTTTTTTTTAAACTTGGATTTTTAATTACTGCATCTGGTAAAACTGTCATTGAATGGTTTTTTTTTTTTCCTGTTCATCTAAACTGGAGCTACTTTTTCATGGAAATACTGCTTTGCATGGTGACTTCTGTATTGAAGGGTGGAAAAAGCATACACACTTTAAATTTTTAAAGGGATTCTGTTGTCTTTACTCATGGCAATAGCTAGAGGCAGCTTGTCTCTAACCTTTATCGGTGGTATCCTTTTAAATCTGAAGCATGAAAAACTTGTTTATACTTTCTGAATTAAATGCCATGGCACTTGGGACAGATAGCATGCAATAATGTGTCTGAAGGTGTGGCAGAGAATTCTAGTAACAACTCCCTGTTTCTGTCAGCATCCTCACTTAAAGGTGTAAAATACTGTCACTGCACAACAGGGGATGAAGAGCTCTTAACATACAGAAGGCCTCCAACAAGCTCTTATACTTCCAGGCAGAGATATTTAAAACCAGCAACCTTGTGATTGGGGTGCTGGATTGACGTAGCTCATGAGGATGGCAGAGCGCCTGAAATCCTAGAGATGCCTGTGCAGAAGGATTTCTCACCTGGTGTGAGCTGTATAGTTCAGGCTGGCTGCCCTCCTAAAATGTTTGCTGCTGGCAGGGGCAAGGAAGGGAATTCACATCGCTGAACCGTGGACACCTAATGGGGGCAGGGGGGACTGGCCTTTCACAGTCCAGGGAGTGGGAGCAAGTCCTGAATCGATGGCTGGACAGGGGAACCAGGCGTTGAACCTGCACAAAGTGACTCTAAATACCCTGCTTTATAAAACATCACTTGTTGGTGACGGCCTGCTTTTGCTCTTCTCTTACCCGTGTGTTGGTGACGGCCTGCTTTTGCTCTTCTCATTTAGTCTTGTCATTTAGTGTTGTATTTACCGTCTGCGTTAAGGAACTGCATGTACTGTTTCTGGACAGGCATCGTTGCTGCAGATTAGTCGTGTGTCCTGGTTACTTGGGAGAATGTGCACACCCTTTGATGCCAACACTCCCCTGCAAAGTAAACAATGTTTTTGTCACCAAGTCAGCCCCTCCAAAATCCCCTGCTGTAACTGCTGGTGGTGGAAGGAGAAGCGCTGCCCACTGGGACCGCAGGCTGGCAATGTCCTCTCCTGTGGCAGTGCCTGCTGCTGCCCCTGGCACGGGGAAGCAGCCCAGTGGAAACAGTCTGCTGGAGGTGCTGGTGAAGATGCAATGGGCTTTGTTTCTTTTTTTTTTTTTCTTCTCTCCTTCCCCTGTTATTAGAGAGACATTTTTCAACCTTTAACATTTCTCTTTTAGAAGGGTGCCTTTCCTGACCCTGAAAATAAGCAAGCCTCCCAAAGCAGCTGTAATTGCTTCCTATGTACCACAGCAATTCCTGAAGCTGCTGCCTTCTTCGGTTCTTGATTAGTCTCTTTGCGCAGTTTAGCATGCACTGAAGGAAAACTATGCCTGTGGTCTGTTACCACTAGAAAATAGGCTTCGGCCGCTCAGGAGAGCGCTTACTCCCTGCTGCCATAAAATAGCTTGTGTCATCAGCCTACTGACTAAGCTTAGCCTTAAGGAAAAGGTTTGCAACTGGAATGAATTTTTTTCTCTTTATGGTGCTTCCCCTCCACCAGCAAAGACTTCTTGCTGGGTGACATTGGTGTTATAACATTAAAATACATCAGTGTTCAGGTTGATTGGGGTGGGGGACAGCGTCTGCCTCTTTTAGCCTAACGTTATCTACTGTCTGATGCAGATTCCTGCAACCCCCGCAGTCGGGAAGCAACCTGGCATTTCACTCTGTTCAACCGTGTGGAGCTCAATTAGTTTCTCCTGAGGTTTTTATTGTTGGTGGACTCTTCCTGCGACAAGAAATTCTGTACAGGAACCTTTACTGAAAGGAAAGCATCCATGTGTCTGCTTTGTCCATGTGATCATCTCAGTGCGTGGTCTCTTGTTTTGTATTTTGTATGGGCACGTGCAGCTCTTCCTGTATTAAGCCGAGAACAGCGCTTGACTAAAAGGCTGGCGACCGAGGACTAGCAACACATTTGGTAGATGGTGTCTGGTGGAGATGAAATTGGAGAAAGAGGATGGACCAGATTCCTCCTCCAAAATGGATATGAATGTGTGTTGAGGGAAGGAAGGGAGTTATTAGCCGTGAACATGTTGGTACAAGAAGTTGTGTTGCATTTTCAACAAATTCTCAATTCAAGCGTAGTAATTTGGGGGTCAGCAGTTCTGGACTGATACTAAGGGTTCTGGCTGCTTTTTTTTTTTTTCTTTTTAATATCTAATAAGGGAGTGATGTTTCTCTGGAGTTCAGCAAGGAGTATAATGTCACCTTCTAGGTAAGGCGAAGAGCCATTGCATAAATTCCTTTATAACTTCCATTTCCTACTTGCAAGTCAAGTGTGAGTAGGTATGTGCCCTTACAAATGCAGTGTCTTGACAGGGCTGCTCTAACCATACTTAAAACACCACTGCCAGTTTTCATGACAGTTTTTAATCATGAAGTTGAGTTTGTATTCTAGTTCTTGAACTCCAAACTCTTGTTTTCCTTCACCTCCACCATAGACTCTGTCCAAAAAGTATTTTTCTGAGATGCTCGTTTAATCATAGGCATTCAAGATGTTGGGTTTTAGGGAAAATGCAGGGTGTTTGGGGTTTTTTCGTGCGGGGTGGTTTTGTTTTGGTTTGGGTTTTTTGGTGGTGGTAGTTTTGTTTTTTTTGGTTTTGCATTTTTGTTTGTTCTGTTTTGGTTTGGGTGTTTTACAGCTCTGTAGAGCTGGCCATGCTGCTGTGGAGATTTTTGGCTTGAACACCTTTTTTCCTTCTGGGGGGAAGAGGGGTCATGCACCAATTTCCTCCCTCACCCGTGCAAGGGATCTTTAGAAAAATACACTTGAAAAGATTGTAGAACAGTTCCCTGGGTGCTTCTTGTTCGTCCCCGTCCTCAGGATGCATGGAAATTGCCTTAAGTTGCAAAGGAGCTTAGATTTGTTGTTGGTCTCCATCGTATGTAAATCCACTGAGTGGGATTTTATTGTCTGGGACTAATTCCTTCTGGGAAAAGCTGTAGTGCTGGAATAAAAACTGTTCCTGCTCAGAACTGACGTGTGTTGAGAAACACTGAGTGAGAGGTGGCACAGTGCTTGAAGGGTTTGGGGACTGTAGTTGTCACCAGCCCTACTTGAAGGGGTTGTAGGTACTCCTAACAGAAGTGGGGAATAAACTCTCCTCCAGTCCAGCTGCTAGTGACATGAATTCTTCGCACATATAAAGCAAGTAGTATGAAGTGCTCTTTGCCATGAATGCATGTCTGTTAAGAGTAGTTGTTGCTTTACATCTTCCAGCAATGTATGGCTGTATGGCTAGCTGTAGAAGTGCTTTCCACTTCACTGATTTGTTATCATGTGTTTGGGCTGAATGTGGATGTAGTAACTGTAAGAACTTCCTCTTCTCCCAAATCCCAGCATCTCTTTTTCCTTACTTTGGGACATTCCGCTGATGGTAAACAGCTCTCAGGTCCTCTTCTGTTTATAGCTGTGACAAAGCTCCTAAAGAGGAGAAACGTGAAGTATCATCATAGCTTTGGGTTACAGTGTAAGAAACGGTGTAGCCTCAGTATGCTCTGATCTACGTGTGAGAGCGCTGTATATGAGCAAGATCTTCATCTTCCCTTCTTTCTGGGGTTTGCCTCTGCCCCAGGCTTACTGCTGTTATGTTTATGTGGCAAAGTGAAGGCTCCTGAGATGGAAACGGCCAAATGAAGTTCTTGCCATACAAGTACAGGGAGCTAGAGTGACTTGCGGGGATGAAGGAGTCTGAACTGCTGCGTGGTGGAGGTTTGAGGTGAGTTGGGTGACCCTGACGGGAACGGATTTCTTACTGGCTTTGCTGATGAAAAACACTGGTTTAAGGTGGTCTGATGCAGCGATACTAGGTGTGGAAGTCATTTGAACAGAGATGGTGTCGCTGTGGAGGAAAACAGTATAGAAAAGTCTTGGTTAATCTAAAGCCGGTGGGAGAGTGATCTGCCTGACCTGTGGTGGTTGTGAGCAGCCCATCTCCTGCAACACTGACGAGGTGGAGTCTTTCAGTGGGATACAGTCATTGCACAGTTACTGTTACTTTCTCCTCTGAAACCTTGCTAGATTACTATACTTACAAATCTGACAAATCCCTCTCCATTTCAGAGATGCTTGGAGAGAGGGTGGGACTTGCTCAGCTCTCTCCTCTTCCTACCAGCACAGCAACACTTAAAATGGTAGTCTAGAAAGCTTGTACTGGTGGAGGGTGGCCGTTCTTTTCAAGATCACAATGAGTATTTTTTTGGAGCTTCATGGCTTTAGCATTTAAATGTTACAGGTCCCAGCATTAACCTCGCCCAGATCTTCAGGGAGGGTCTGAAACCTCTTCTGTCAGTGCCGACAGTCCTAGGAGGCTGGGTACACTGAGCTTCGCTGAAGAATTTAAAGTTGTGACCAAAACTTGTTTAGTGCTTTCAAAGTAAGCATGCAGGCTGAGGTTTCCAGTGTGGAGTCTGAAGCTTAAAATCCTGTTTTAAAAAAAAACCTGAGGGTGTTTTCTCTTTTTGTTCAGCCACTGAGCGAAAAGTGACTGCTTGTGAGGTTTGCCCAGGACAGAATCAGCAATGAGCTGGCCTTGCAGCTATCTCCACCCGTCTTCAGATGGCTTCCTCCAGTTCCAGGGCCCACCTTTCTATCAGATATTGCATGTATATAATTTAAATAAAAATAAATAGAAATGTGATACATAATGTATTGCATAATTGGATATTGCATTTGGTGTTGCATAAAACATTACAACTAAACCTCTTGGAGCTTCACCTTCACTGTAGGGAGGCCTGGATCTTCAACAGCTGGAAACCTCCTTCCCTAGCGTGGAGAGAGCTGGAGTTCTCTGGTGGTCTGCAGGGGGGAAAGGGTGGGGAGGGCAGCATCTCA